GATATGTTTTATAATGATTGATCATGAAAGTGTTCTCAAAGCTGGTAAAGGTGCAGCTAGTTTGAATGACTTTGTATACTGCAGGGTAGCTTGTGGATTTACTCCAGGTGGAACTAAAGTCTGATTTAACACTTGATTATATTTCACATCATTCATCCACATCTGTGAAGTAACTAAAGGTATTAAATACATGTAGTGGAGTAGAAGTACACCATTTACCTCTGAACTGTAGAGGAGTAGAAGTATGAAGTAAAATGTAAATACTAAAGTAAAGTACAAGTACCTCTAAATTGTACTGAAGTACAGTACTTGAGTACTTAGTTACTTCCCACCTCAGTAGGGTGGTAGCTTTTGGTTAGCCTGGTGTTGATGTTCCTGCTAATGTTGAGCAGGGGGGCTAGCTAGCAGCAGCAACTTCAGTTAGCATCACCCAGTTTAAACTACCATCACAAGTTAACATGCTAGTTCATTAGCAAGCCCAGCTAGCTGTTTGTGAGCGTTAAAACGAATGACAACAGTAGCTTTAAGAGATTAACTGACACTAGCAGCCAAACTCCTCCTTTAGCATGCTAAGCTAACAGTTAGAAAGATACCCTCTCAAAGTGAATCACGGAACCTGACGTAAAGACGACGTCAACTGACAAGAAACCCGTCCGAGTGCTCGAGGGTTTAAATAGTCAAAAAGGAGATGTTACTCACAACTTGTAGTCTCCTCTCCCTGTTAGTTCTGGGGGTAGGCAGCTAGCTTGCAGTCGCTCTTCTTCCCCTCTGCCGAACCTCCTCCATCGGAAGGATTTGCGAAGTGATGAGATTTTTTTTTTCTCTGTGTTTGCGAGCGCTTCACTGTCAGAACAGACGGGCCGAGTGTTTGTCCCGCCCTCCTTCACGGTGATTGGCTGCTGATATATAATACAGCGTTCTATTGCACCACATACGTGTCAATCAGGGAGAAACGACCTGTTGATTGGATGACGTGTTGGGGTTCACATGGGTCTGCTTACATGCGTACACCGAAACTGCTCTAACCGGGCGGGTACTCGGTGAGAAAATAACATAAAATATACTTTATTGATCACAAATTGGGATTTTTTTGTTTTGTTACAGCAGTATGTTAAAACAAAGACATGGCATATTATGAAGAAAAAAAAAAAGAGTCGAAAAAAGCAAACAGAAAATATATAAACATCTCAAAAACAGAAAATAAAACTGAATTTAAAAAGTAAAATATATACAAATTGACCATGAAAGGCACATTTTAGTGACACTATAACTTCTCCCCACACAGTCCCAATAAGGAACCATGGATGCATTCACATTTTTTATACATTTTTACCATAAAGAATCAAACTTTATGGTTATTATTTTAGCATTATTATGGAATTAATACTGTATTACACCAGAAAAATAGGTATCAGGATATTCTTTATGTTATTAGTATGAACAATGTATGTGTTTTTCTTTATTAATATAGGGATGAAATGCAAGCTCGCTGCCTACCTCCAGAGAATATACTATATATTATAATGCAAAATCAATGCATAAGAACTTAATATGGTATAATGTTCCTCAATTATGATGGTACAGGATATGTTGTAAGTCAATTTATTGAACATGTGAAAAAAAAGATGCAAAAACACAAAATAATTTGCAAGGTATAAAAATACAAATAAATAGTTTCTTTCAAGGGTTCAAGAAGAAGCTTCAACACTTTTCTGGTACTACCCCGTCTAGCGTACATTGTTCATGAAAATAAAAGTTCAGTTCATCGTCAACCATCCGTGATAATTGTACAAAACAAAACAAAAACAAATAACCCTTCAAGGTAAACCAAAACCGTCAACGACAAGAAATAACAAGCAGAAAATCACCGGTCCTGCTCAGAGCCATTTTTTTAGTTTAGATATATATATATATATGAGATATAAGAAAAGGTGGAAAGTAGTGGTAGTAATATGAAAATGTAAAACAGCAATAGGAGGGAATATCATATCATAAATAAAAACATCACAGGATGGGAATAATAGCCGATTATATGATACAGTCAGTTTAGTATCATATAATAATAATAATAATAATAATAATAATAATAATAATGTTCCTGCAGGGTCAACACAATTCAAACTTCTTACTGAAAAGGGTTACCTTGTTAAAACCAACATTTATTTAACTCGAGCACAATTATGAATGGCTCATATGTTACAGAAAACTTATCAAAGAGTCAAAGATGTTCAGTTTCACAGCTGAGAATATAGAATAGAATTGGAGGGATGAAACCCTCTTCTCTGCTTTTAACCCATCCTAGTACCAGGAGTCTAGCACCAGGAGTCTAGCACCAGGAGTCTAGCACCAGGAGTCTAGCACCAGGAGTCTAGTACCAGGAGTCTAGCACCAGGAGTCTAGTACCGGGAGTCTAGCACCGGGAGTCTAGGACCGGGAGTCTAGCACCGGGAGTCTAGTACCGGGAGTCTAGTACCGGGAGTCTAGTACCGGGAGTCTAGCACCGGGAGTCTAGTACCGGGAGTCTAGTACCGGGAGTCTAGTACCGGGAGTCTAGTACCGGGAGTCTAGCACCGGGAGTCTAGTACCGGGAGTCTAGTACCGGGAGTCTAGTACCGGGAGTCTAGCACCGGGAGTCTAGGACCGGGAGTCTAGTACCGGGAGTCTAGTACTGGGAGTCTAGCACCGGGAGTCTAGCACCGGGAGTCTAGGACCGGGAGTCTAGGACCGGGAGTCTAGTACCGGGAGTCTAGCACCGGGAGTCTAGCACCAGGAGTCTAGCACCAGGAGTCTAGGACCGGGAGTCTAGTACCAGGAGTCTAGTACTAGGAGTCTAGCACCGGGAGTCTAGGACCGGGAGTCTAGGACCGGGAGTCTAGTACCGGGAGTCTAGTACCGGGAGTCTAGTACCGGGAGTCTAGCACCGGGATTGAGTCTAGCACCAGGAGTCTAGCACCAGGAGTCTAGGACCAGGAGTCTAGTACTAGGAGTCTAGCACCAGGAGTCTAGCACCAGGAGTCCTAGGAGTCTAGTACCAGGAGTCTAGCACCAGGAGTCTAGCACCAGGAGTCTAGTACCAGGAGTCTAGTACCAGGAGTCTAGTACTAGGAGTCTAGCACCAGGAGTCTAGCACCAGGAGTCTAGTACCAGGAGTCTAGTACCAGGAGTCTAGTACTAGGAGTCTAGCACCAGGAGTCTAGTACTAGGAGTCTAGCACCAGGAGTCTAGCACCAGGAGTCTAGTACCAGGAGTCTAGTACCAGGAGTCTAGTACTAGGAGTCTAGCACCAGGAGTCTAGTACTAGGAGTCTAGCACCAGGAGTCTAGCACCAGGAGTCTAGTACCAGGAGTCTAGCACCAGGAGTCTAGCACCAGGAGTCTAGGACCAGGAGTCTAGTACTAGGAGTCTAGCACCAGGAGTCTAGCACCAGGAGTCTAGCACCAGGAGTCCTAGGAGTCTAGTACCAGGAGTCTAGCACCAGGAGTCTAGCACCAGGAGTCTAGTACCAGGAGTCTAGTACCAGGAGTCTAGTACTAGGAGTCTAGCACCAGGAGTCTAGTACTAGGAGTCTAGCACCAGGAGTCTAGCACCAGGAGTCTAGAACCAGGAGTCTAGCACCAGGAGTCTAGCACCAGGAGTCCTAGGAGTCTAGTACCAGGAGTCTAGCACCAGGAGTCTAGAACCAGGAGTCTAGCACCAGGAGTCTAGCACCAGGAGTCCTAGGAGTCTAGTACCAGGAGTCTAGTACCAGGAGTCTAGTACTAGGAGTCTAGCACCAGGAGTCTAGCACCAGGAGTCTAGAACCAGGAGTCTAGCACCAGGAGTCTAGCACCAGGAGTCTAGCACCAGGAGTCCTAGGAGTCTAGTACCAGGAGTCTAGCACCAGGAGTCTAGAACCAGGAGTCTAGCACCAGGAGTCTAGCACCAGGAGTCCTAGGAGTCTAGTACTAGGAGTCTAGCACCAGGAGTCTAGTACTAGGAGTCTAGTACCAGGAGTCTAGTACTAGGAGTCTAGCACCAGGAGTCTAGCACCAGGAGTCTAGCACCAGGAGTCCTAGGAGTCTAGTACCAGGAGTCTAGCACCAGGAGTCTAGCACCAGGAGTCCTAGGAGTCTAGTACCAGGAGTCTAGCACCAGGAGTCTAGCACCAGGAGTCTAGTACCAGGAGTCTAGTACCAGGAGTCTAGCACCAGGAGTCTAGTACCAGGAGTCTAGTACCAGGAGCAGTGGGCAGCTATTGTACAGCGCCCGGGGAGCAATGGGAGTGGGGGGGAAGGGGGTTGTCCGGTGCCTTGCTCAAGGGCACCACGGCAGGGCCCAGGAGGTGAACTGGGACCTCTCCAAGTAGCAGTCCACACTCCATATTTAGGTCTGGTCGGGGACTTGAACCGGCGACCCTACGGCTCACAGTCCAAGCCCCTACTGAATATTGAAGTCAGCGGATGTAAACATATCAAGGAGGACCGCAGGGTGTGTGAACCATTAGTTGTAATTGCTTAAAAAGTGTCTACTTTTATATGTCTAAGAATTGAGAAAAAACACGAGTAATAACATTATATATCATCCAATTAATTACAAACAAAGACTTCGACACCACTGTTGTGCAATAACATTTGTGTGCAATATGTACATTGGAATACATTATATATACTGTATTTTTTATTTCTGCATGCCCATAGTGTTTTATTGTGTGTCTCTATCCTCACTTTTGCTGTTACAGTGTATTCCCCCCTATGTGGGACGAATAAAGGTATTCTGATTCTGATCATTATTAATATATTGATTAAAAACACAACGTGATTTGCAACCTATATAAAACTGGTCCTGCGTTATTAATCCAAACCTGTAGGGGCGCTGTAAAGCTTCAGTCAATTTAAACTGCAGGTAACGTTACAAGAAGGCAACGAAGAAGAGGAGGAGCGAAGCGCCACGCTATTGGTCAGAATGGGTGCAGCTCGGCTTCCCATTGGCTGGCCGAGTTGCCCCGCCAGTGGATAGAAGAAACAGCGCCATTATTAAACATCTTGTTGTTCTCTGCGGACAGTTTGAGGTAAAACTTTAATATTAAACTATTCACATCAACGACAGGTGGATAACATTTTGGGACTTCATTAAAGGATTAGTTATCGTCCTTATGGGAAGATAACACGGAGCTGGGAGCCGATTGGCTGCGAGGAAGAAGCTAACGCGGCTAGCAGGAGTTAGCTGGAGCTCCGGGCGGGTTCTCTGTGCTCAGTGACCGTTAATAGTGCCTCTCCATCGGCCTCAGAGGGGATGAGCTGCCCGGTGAACTTCCAGGCTCTACCCTCCGGAGTGTTGGAGGCTGTTTTCACTCCGGAGAACATGAGGAGAGGAGGGTGAGTTCATGTTGACATATCATGGCTCAGGTGATTCAATAACACCTGCTGGGGGGGTGTAACACCGGTGTGTGTGTGTGTGTGGGGGGGGTGTGTGTGTGTGTGTCAGAATTAGAATCAGAAACGGGTTTATTACCAGGTAGGTTGACACATACGAGGAATTTGACGGTGTGTGGTGTAAAGTAACTAAATACGTTTACTTAAGTACAATTTTGAGAGACTGTCTGTTGCTACTTCGTACGTCTACAGTTCAGATAAATGGTGTACTTGATTCTTGCAACCGGCTTTTATTTTCATTTCCTCTCCTCTTCACCAATACATTAAAATACATTCCTTGTATGTGAAAAACCTGCTGTTCAATAAACCAGATTGTAACTCCTTCTCATCTGTTTTTGTTGCAGAACCTCGATGAACTCTGGCACTCAACTCACTTTCCCCAAGTCCAGATCAGCTCTGTGGGATGGCAGCCCTGCAGGAGAGAAGCTCCGCCTCCAGCTCTGCGCTCACAGGTGAACACACACACACACACACACACACACACACACGTGACATATGTGTAAATGAAGTATGATAGGATCTGAACATGTGTGTAAAGCCTGCCTCTCTGATCTCCAGCACCTCTGTCTTTTTTAATCTGAATTATTCACGTGTTCATCAACAGAACAAGAAAAGGGGCCCACTGCTTAAACTCATCTACCAAACACTCCCAAGTGTGTGTGTCTTTGCAGTTTCATGTTGCATGTTTTTACACGCAGCAGCTGCTTTCTAAACATCAGTTCAACTCTACAGTCAGACTGTGAATTACATCATATATTACTGTCTGGACGTGTTTCAGCTTGTGACCTTCATCAAGTCATCCAAGGGTTTAACACATAGGCAGTCAGTGTTTTTATCTCCACGTTGACAGCATGTACATCAGACAGTAATGAAGTGGTGTAGCTGTTGTTGTGGAGCAGCATGTAATGTGTGTGTGTGTGTGTGTGTGTGTGTGTGTGTGTACAGGAAGCCCCGCCTGGTGCTGCTGGAGAAAGCTTTGCGATTGGCTCAGCGTCACGCCCGTCACAGCAACAAGCCCCGCCTCCCGTGTTTCCTCCTGGGCTCCATGAGTGTGGACGCAGGTAAGAGCTCACCATGATCATATAATCATTCAAAACATATAGTCTTATACTCTGATTGCCTTTCACTCTGTTAAACTGTATTTGTAGTCTTGTATGAGTTTAACAGAGACAGATGTTAAGGGTTTACATTTCAGGAGGGCAAAGGAAGTAAAAGGAGGATTTGCAAAAGGTTAAGGGCGAGGGGGTTTTGTGGTTTAATGATGGGGATGTTTAGATGATGCCTAAGAGAATTTAAGGGTGGGACCAGTTGGCTGTTTCCTCTCATGAATATATACAGAGACTGTAAGCAGAACTTCTTTCTCCTCTGAGGAGGAAGCTGCTCTGTTCCTGCATTTCAGATCCATTTCACTTTTATATTGACTTTCTTTATTACTTGATTAAATATAACAGACAGACACACTTTGTCCATGAAGCATTTATCAGTTTCTCTTAAGAATTTCCTCCACAACCTGCTCCTCTGTGATTGGTCCGGCTGTAGGATCATTATAATAACTCCCCCCCCCCCCCCCCCCCCCCCCCGTGGTTCCAGATGAGGAGGGGGTCACCGTGACTCTGGACCGCTTTGACCCGGGTCGAGATCAGGGCCGGGTCCCCTCGGCTCTTCTGCCCGGAGACGTCCTGGTCCCCTGTGTGTTCTCCACTCAGGAGGGCGTGTCTGACGCTGTACAATCAGAGGCTGAGCTGCACCACTGCTTCAAGGTAGGGCAATTTGTATAGCATGCGTTCAGTCACGCTGCTCCTGTGGCTTGGATCCTTTAAACAGACTCAAAGTGACTCTTAACAATATGTCAGTGTTTCTGTTTGGACGGGAAATTCTGTTGAAGTCTGTTGACGATGCCATGATCTTAGGGCAGGAATACCGTGAACATAGTTTAACGTGACAGAGGAATAAATACACACATACACCGTCGGCTTTGCTTCAACCGGAAGTGACACGTTTTATTGCGCATGTCCCTTTTATCACAGGAATACAGGAAGAGTATTAGATAAACAAATTCATATCTTACAATTCATAATTCAACACCCCCACTTACTCTTATACCCAACACATTTAAATCTCTCCAGCGATGGTGTCCGGTGATAACATTTCCACCTAAGCACAATTTGAAGTGAATTATAAGTACACACAATAGATGAATCAGCCAAGTGGTTTCTGAGTAATGTATCCCGACTGGGTCATTCAAATAAAGCAAATGGTTTTTTTCTGAATTAAAGGTGGGGTAGGTAATTCCCTTCAGAAACACTTGTTATATTCCATGGAATGCTCTTAACATCCCGATAGCAATGAATACATTGCTTTGACAATAAATCCATAATAAATATCATCTGTGGAAGCCGTGGCGCTGTAAAAAGCACGACCAATCATCTGAGCCGGCCCGGCTAAAATAACTGGATGGCCTACCTGCCCGTCAGCCTTCCATCTGTGCACAAACTTATCTGGTGCCCTCATTGGTCATGTGCGCGTTCGTGTGTGTTGGAGGAGGGGCTCTATAAGGAAGTGGCAGATTCTTTCCGGTTGCGTTCTTTCAAATTCTAGCGCACTCGAGCTGGTTTCTACATTCTTACCTACCCTACCTTTAAAGGTGATATAAACAATAGATTTAAGCTCATTTTAAAAAGAGCTGCACAATTTGTTTGTCACTGCTTACACCTCCAAGCAGAATTCAAATACGTAACATATCAATATTTAAATGTGAAACACACAGACTTTGATAATACTGCTGTAGTGAAGGTGTTGTGTTTTCTGTTTTCATGGCAACGTCTCCTTGATGTCACCAGCAGCTGCTTTTCTGACCCTTTCTGAAACGTCCCATTTGAATGTCTTTGGGGGATGTGATGCTGAAACTGTTTTAGTCTGAGAATACATTTGTTTCCTTCTAAAACTTAATTCCAGTTTTCCAGATTATTGAGGTTTAAAGTAATGAAGTTTGTGAAGACTGTCCTCTGTACGCACAGTTTTACAACATTAAATTAGGAGATTTATTTGAAAAACAAGGAAAGCAGTGAGATGGGTTGAGACAATTTTCTGAAGTGAAGCCATGTGCTGCTACCTTGACAATAAAACACATCTTCTTCTTGTATCATTTCTCGATTTTCTCATGGTTTAGTTTATTTGTTTATAGTGTGGGGCAGCTTTAGCCAACATTGCTAATACAGCATTCCCACTATCTGTTATTCAACGCACAAAATTCTTTATTATTCCGCCGGGTTATTTTGCGCCTCTTCTTCTCCCTCATTCAACATCGCACAAACTCCGTTCAAACATCAAAACGTTCAGCTCGGTCGGGAATCGATGGCTATTACTTTTCTCATTCATAACTTTCATAATTCCAGAGATACATCCCATAATTCATCACATTTTTAACATTGAAGTCAATGGAGAACTCTTCAGACTTGAACAATCTTCATGCAACTTCAACTGCTAACTGCTCCTTCATACTTTCACTCAGAAACCTCATTCCAACTTTAAAATGTTACACATCTTTCTGACATTATTCGTGTAACACAACTTTTAAATCTGATTCGTACTTTTAGAGATATTAAACATTGTTCAGACCTTGGTACAGAGGCCTTCTTCAGATTTTAGAGTGCGTGATGTCACAGCTAGTGGAGGACAGATTTAATTTTGCCTTCGTATTTTCTTTTAAACTGCCATAATTCCCAAACCCTACATTCCTGAGACATCATTTATCATGACAAACGTAGGAAAACATCTCGTAGCTTGAAAAATAAAAAATAATGAAGCAAAATAATTAAACAAAATGCCTCTTGAGAGCATGAAGTGACAAAAACGTTCAACATCTCTCCATTAAAACCCATTGTAAGTTCAGCCTCATCTTTCCCCACCACAGCAGCCGCACACCTTTTAGTTAATCTGCCAAAAAGGCCACATTATTGACCCGAAAGTACACAAAAATTACACTTCAGATGCTCAAGTTCCTTGACATGCTTCACGCATTGAAATTTCACCGATATCTGTTACGGTTCTTCAACAAAACGTTCACATGTAAGAGGTTTATCTCTCATTCAGATCAATGGAAATGCTCTCCTCTCACTGATTACTGCACATCACCATGGAAACCTTTGATCTCTGGACACGTCGTTAGCTCAAATATAAACACCTGTGTCATGGAACACGATGATGTCATAACTCCAACTGACATGCTCAGAGCAGCAGACTTCAGATAATGGTTAATGGTCCTGCCCAGCTCTACGTCAATTATGGGGTGTCATCATATGCCGTTTCCATGGAAACGCATCCCTCGCCATAAAACACGATGTCGCTGTAACTCCAATGGACACGGTCCGATCGTCCCCCAAACTTCGCTTGTATATCACCGGTCCATGCCTCAACAGCTCTATGCCAAATCTGAGATCTCACCATAGGCTGTTGCCATGGAAACGCATCCCTCGCCATAAAACACGATGTCGCTGTAGCTCCAATGGACACGGTCCGGTCGTCCCACAATCTTCACCTGTATATCACCGATCCATGCCTCAACAGCTCTACGTCAAATCTGACATCTCACCATATGCCGTTTCCATGGAAACGCATCCCTTGCCATAAAACACGATGTTGTCGTAACGCCTATAAAAAGGGTCAAAACAGCACCACACTTCAGATAATGGTTAACGGTCCAGCCCTCAACAGCTCTACGTCAATTATGGGGTTTCATCATATGCCGTTTCCATGGAAACGCATCCCTCGCCATAAAACACGATGTCGCTATAACTCCTATGAAAATGTTCAAAAAGTGCTCAAACTTCACATGTGTGCTAACAGTCCAGCCGTGAAGACATCTACGGGACAGTTTTGAGATTTCTTCAAATGCCGTTGCCATGGCAACACAATGCTCGCCATGAAACACGGTTTTCTCATAACTTCAGTGAAAATGCTCCAAACGGCCCAAAACTTCACAGGTTTGGTAACGATGCAGCCATCAACGCATCTAACCGTATTATGGGGGTGTCATCAAATGCCGTTGGCATGGCGACAGATCATTCGCCATCAAGTTAGTTCAAATATTCTGCTGCTTTTCCTAGCCTTTTTACTTTCTTTTCTTTTCATCACACATTCAAGCCCCCAGTGTTCATGTATCATTTCAATCTAAATTCTTCACTTTCTTACACATTACATTTCAGCATAGCAGTTTAGGTTCAAGGTTCAAGGTTCAAGGTTCTTTATTGTCAATCTGACATAGCTACAGAGTAATTATGCAGTTGAAAATCTTATGTCACAGGCTTCTCCAACAATGCAACATAATAACATAACATAATAACAATAAGAGCAAGAGCAATACAAAAATAATAATAGTTATAAAAATGAAATAAAGTTATGATGTGGAATAGTGCAGTATGAGTCTATATACAAGTTATTGGAATGATATATATATATTAGGTATTAGATACATACTACTGAGTAGCAGTTGAATGTTTGAAGTTGTTTCAACAGTTCAATTTTTTAACAGTCTCACTGCCCGCGGGAAGAAACTGTCTCCGAATCTTCTTGTCCTTGCCAGGATGCTGCGGTAACGTCTGCCAGACGGCAACAGAAAGAACAGTTTGTGGCTGGGGTGATGGGGGTCTTTGATAATCCGTAGTGATTTCTTCCTGAGCCGCTGGGAGTAAAGGTCCTCCATGGATGGCAGCTCCGTCCTGGTGATGTGCTGTGCAGTTTTCACCACCCTCTGTAAAGCCTTACGATCGAGGTCGGTGCAGCTGCCGTACCAGGCCGTCATGCTGCCAGTGAGGATACTCTCTATCGTGCACCTGTAGAAGTTGCAGAGTATCCTGGAATCCATTTTGAACCTCCTCAACCTGCGGAGGAAGAAGAGCCGCTGTCGAGCTTTCTTGGTGATGGTGGTGGTGTGAAGAGACCATGTCAGGTCCTCAGTGATGTGGACCCCAAGGAACCTGAAGCTTTTGACTCTCTCCACCGTAGTCCCATTGATGGCGATGGGGGCGTGTCCCTCTCCCTGCTGCTTCCTGTAATCCACAATCAGCTCCTTTGTTTTGCTGATGTTGAGATGGAGGTTGTTCTCCTGGCACCAAGATGTCAGGTTTTCGACCTCCTCTCTGTATGCCGTCTCGTCATCGTCTGTGATCTGGCCGATGACGGTCGTGTCATCAGCAAACTTCACGATGGTGTTGGAGCTGTGTGTGGCCACGCAGTCGTGGGTGAACAGGGAGTAGAGGAGAGGGCTGAGCACGCAGCCTTGAGGGGCTCCAGTGTTGAGGATCAGGGTGGAGGATGTGATATTTCCCACCCGCACTGCCTGGGGTCTGCCCGTCAGGAAGTTCAGGATCCAGTCGCAGAGGGCGCTGTTGAGCCCGAGGTCTCAGCTTGATGGCCAGCTTGGAGGGCACAATGGTGTTGAATGCTGAACTGTAGTCAATGAACAGCATTCTCACATATGTGTTCCTCTTCTTCGGGTCCAGGTGTGAGAGGGCAGTGTGGAGGGTGAGGGCTATGGCGTCGTCTGTGGACCTGTTTGCTCTGTAGGCAAACTGCAGGGGGTCCAGAGATTCAGGGAGGGAGGAGGTGATGAATAATTTGACTAACCGCTCAAAGCACTTCATTATGATGGAGGTGAGTGCTACTGGGCGGTAGTCGTTGGGGCAGGTGATGATTGTCTTTTTGGGGACAGGAATGATGGTGGAGTGTTTAAGACATGTGGGGACTACAGACTGCAGCAGGGACCTGTTGAAGATGTCTGTGAACACCTCTGCCAGCTGAACTGCACACACCCTGAGAACACGGCCAGGGATGCCATCAGGTCCAGGAGCCTTGTGTGGGTTAACCCTTTTAAAGGATTTACACACATCTGCCCTATTTAAAACAAAAGGGCAGTGTAGCTCCTGGTCCCTCTGTACCTCCACAGCCTGGCTGCTCTCAAAGCGTGCAAAAAAACTGTTTAGCTCATCTGGGAGAGATGCGCACGCAGACACTCCCGCAGCACCCCCCGCTGCTCCTTTGTAGTCAGTCATTGTCCTTAGTCCCGCCCACATATTCCTAGTGTTACAGCCTTTGAAGTCAGATTCCACCTTCTCTTTGTACTGTCTCTTTGCATTTTTTATTGCTCTCCGGAGATCATAGCTAGACTTCCTGTACTCCTCCAAATCTCCCGCTGTGTGCGCGAGAGTGCGCGCTTTCAGTTTGCCGCGCACCTCGCCGTTTACCCAGGGCTTTTGATTTGGGAATGTCCGTACAGAAACCTTCGGTACCACGTCATCGATGCATTTCCCAATGTAGCAGATGACAGTGTCCGTGTGTGTGTTGATGTTATTGTCCTCAAACACACTCCAATCCGTAGATGCAAAGCATCGTCAGCTTTTCAGCATAAAGCATTCCCACTAGCAATTTCTTCAGGAATTGCATTCTCTAGTTTCCATCTATTGTCCCTGGCCAGATGATAACAGACACCTTTTTTAAATCACAACACATCAACAGCATTAGTTATAAAGAAAGGATGAAAGACAAGTAGATAGAGGCGAAAGGATCAAAGAGAACAATAAAATGCAAACAACACACGTTACTACATACATGTCACATATAGCACATCACAATCACATGACAGAAACCAGGGGTCCATGATCACAACATGTAACAATTCACAACTTCAACCGTTTAATTTGTTTGAGTTTTCTCTCATAGTATTACCTCCCTCTCCTGGCTCCATAATAATATTTATTTCACGTACACTCCCCCTAACAAGCCATCGTGAAAGAGCTTTTTATTTCACACCACATATTAAATATTTCTCTCTCTCTCTCTCTCTCTCTCTCTTCCCCCCCCCCCCCCCCAGGCTCTGCAGCAGTGTGTGAGCAGCAGGCAGGCTCTGGAGCTGAGTCAGCTGCTGAAGGTCAGAGGTCACGTGGTCCTGACTCAGCAGGCGGACTCTGCAGCGTTCGTCCTCAGCTGGTCGGCCGTCTGTCCGTCCGTCAGCGTGGAGGTGGCGCCGGTGCGCTCCGTCCCGATCATCCCCACCGCGCTGCAGAGGAGCCTGAGCAGCAACAGCCGGCCGCCACAGAGCAGCAGGCCTCAGAGAGGGTGAGACACACTCCCTCTCTCACCCCTCTCCCACCCCTCTCCCACTGAAACCAGTTCTATATGAGGTCCGAGTCGGGGCTAGTGTTGGGTTGCACCATTAGAAACCAGTTTGCTTTCCCTTCAGAGCCGTAAAGGAGCCACGTCACTGTAAATATTTATTTCTCTTTAATCTTGGTCAAAACTCCCATGATCAGCGTGCACTAAAGTTCTTAACTTAAGGATACATTATTTGTATTTGTCAAGTATTTAATTAACACATTATCCAGATATGACATTTGGAGATTTGGCCATACAAATGTGATCTCTTCTTAATTAGTGTGTGTGTGTGTGTGTGTGTGCAGGTTTCTGACCATGGATCAGACCAGGAAGCTGCTCCTGCTGCTGGAGTCGGACCCTAAAGCCTGCAGCCTGCCGCTGGTCGGACTGTGAGTGGATACGATACATTACATGTTACTTGTTAGACTTACATACTCAATACTGTGGACAATCCCCACAGGAGCACTTTGGGGTGAAGTGTCTCAGGGACACAACGACATGCTGACTGCAGTGGGGTTTGAACCTGTGCCCCCCTGATCCCAACACCAACGCATTAGTCCACTGCGCCACACGCCTCCCTATACAATAATACAATACTTTAATGGTCAGATCCAGTCTGAAATGCTCCTTGCATCACAGCAGCTCCATGTGTAACATCAACAGACACACACATGACACAACACATGAGAAACAAACATTGAACATAACAGCAGGATCAGTGAGAGAAAACATTTTCAACTTCCCTTTAGCGTGCATTTGAGTCTCTCAGGTTTCACTATACAACAATCTGGAGATCACCCCTCTGGATTTAACTTACACATTATAGACGCTAGGGCTGTGCGATTATGGCAAAAATCATAATCACGATTATTTTGGTCAATAATTGATATCACGATTATTAAATATGATTATTCATTGACTTTGAAAACATCCATTTATTGAACTTTTAAATACAAATAATAATTTGAACAGTATCTTTTTAACTGTTGATTACCCTGAACGTATAATTCAACAAAAAAACCAATACAAAAATAAATAAAATAAATGATGCATTTAAATAAATAATATCAAAATAATAAATACCAATAAACAAGATCAACAAATATTTTGGAGCGCACTTCAACAAGCTACTACACATATGTAAATATGATGAATACAAATACATTTAGACCCTCCAGAAAAACGCGATTATGCGATCGCATAATTTACCGCATAATCAGCAAAATGGCGCAGATTTTTAAAAGGGCGCATATTTATTAAAAGGTCGCATAATCCCCGCATTTTTCCACACAAAATTGAGGGGAAAAAAAGTTAACGTGAAGTAGTGATGTCATCAGCTCGCGCAGGTAAACAACACCGTAGAGTGAATGTGTGGAACTCACACGAGAGAGAAAACAACAAGATCAGCGCCATATAGATTATTATATACTATTATACTATTATTATTATATACTATTATACTATTATTATTATACCATTATACGGCTCTGACCAAGATGAACAAATCGAATCCATCTCATTTGCCTACGAACATTTCTGCTAAAGACCGGGCAAAGCCGATGTCTTGCACGAAAGTGGGGGGAAACAGAATGAGGCGGAGAAGAGTGTGTGTGTGTGTGTGTGTGTGTGTGTGTGTGTGTGTGTGCGTGTGTGTGTGTGTGTGTGTGTGTGTGCGTGTGTGTGTGAGAGAGTGATTAAAATAGCCCATATATAAATACATAAATAACACTTTGTGATGTAGCTTACTTCTAGTATGCTTGTTTATCATAGGAACTCTTTAAAAGGGCTCACTTTCATTCAGTAGTAGCCTAGTAACAGGGTGTGGGAGAAGAATCACCTTTTTTCCGCCTCCCGCATATTTCGCAACTTTTCGCATATTTCCGCATATTTCGCAACTTCACCGCATAAAATCACATAAAAACCCCGCATGTTTAATCGCATAATCAAGGATTTTAGCCCGCATAATCAAGGATTTTAGCCCGCGTTTTTCTGGAGGGTCTATACATTGGATCAAATATGTTCGAGTGCACTGTCACAACCAAGCAAAGCAAAATAATCGTTTTTTTTCGAATATGTTGTTTTTCGTAATTGTGGCAGGCCAAAATCGTAATTGCGATTAAAATACGATTAATTGCACAGCCCTACTAGACGCTAACGTGCACTTACTGAATGTAGGACACAGACACATTCGAAATCTAAAAATGTCTCTAGTGGAGCATTAACTTTACCAAAGCATTGATATTCAGTCTTTATGATGTTTTGTGTCTTATCTGTCGGAGAGAAATCATTATTTATATATTTTATTTGTATTGTCATACATTTACCTGCTTGTGTCTCTTAACCTGATAACATGTTATATTTTGCTGCATGTGCCTTTTAAAGGTTTTAACATCTAATAGAGGGGAATTTCTTGTGATCTATTTTGAACTTGTGATGTGTCACCATTTTGTAAAGCGCTTTGAGCACGTGCTGTATGAATAAGGCTTTATTATGAATGTACCTATCTGTGGTGTTTCAGCTGGCTGAGTGGAGTCACTCACATCTACAGCCCTCAGGTGTGGGCCTGGTGTCTCCGGTTCCTCTACAGCGCCGCCCTGCAGGACAGGTGAGTTACAGGCACACTGATATCTCTATATCTCTAAATACTACATCATTGTGCAGAATAGTCTATATACAAGTAATTTGAATATTGATATATATCATTTGCAGACAGATGAATGTTATGGATGTTCTTTCAAAAGTTCAGGTGGTGGTTTTAGTATTCCAACGTGAAGTCATGTGACCGTGCTGTAGTTCCTTTATAGCCCAACATTAGCCACCTTTAGCTTAGCGGTGGTGACGTGAAGTCATGTGACCGTGCTGCAGTTCCTTTATAGCCCAACATTAGCCTCCTTTAGCTTAGCGGTGGTGACGTGAAGTCATGTGACCGTGCTGTAGTTCCTTTAAAGCCCAACATTAGCCTCCTTTAGCTTAGCGGTGGTGACGTGAAGTCATGTGACCGTGCTGTAGTTCCTTTATAGCCCAACATTAGCCTCCTTTAGCTTAGCGGTGGTGACGTGAAGTCATGTGACCGTGCTGCAGTTCCTTTATAGCCCAACATTAGCCGCCTTTAGCTTAGCGGTGGTGACGTGAAGTCATGTGACCGTGCTGCAGTTCCTTTATAGCCCAACATTAGCCACCTTTAGCTTAGCGGTGGTGACGTGAAGTCATGTGACCGTGCTGTAGTTCCTTTAAAGCCCAACATTAGCCTCCTTTAGCTTAGCGGTGGTGACGTGAAGTCATGTGACCGTGCTGTAGTTCCTTTATAGCCCAACATTAGCCTCCTTTAGCTTAGCGGTGGTGACGTGAAGTCATGTGACCGTGCTGTAGTTCCTTTATAGCCCAACATTAGCCACCTTTAGCTTAGCGGTGGTGAAGTCATGTGACCGTGCTGTAGTTCCTTTATAGCCCAACATTAGCCGCCTTTAGCTTAGCGGTGGTGACGTGAAGTCATGTGACCGTGCTGTAGTTCCTTTATAGCCCACATTAGCCGCCTTTAGCTTAGCGGTGGTGAAGTCATGTGACCGTGCTGTAGTTCCTTTATAGCCCAACATTAGCCACCTTTAGCTTAGCGGTGGTGACGTGAAGTCATGTGACCGTGCTGTAGTTCCTTTATAGCCCAACATTAGCCTCCTTTAGCTTAGAGGTGGTGACGTGAAGTCATGTGACCGTGCTGTAGTTCCTTTATAGCCCAACATTAGCCACCTTTAGCTTAGCGGTGGTGACGTGAAGTCATGTGACCGTGCTGTAGTTCCTTTATAGCCCAACATTAGCCGCCTTTAGCTTAGCGGTGGTGACGTGAAGTCATGTGACCGTGCTGTAGTTCCTTTATAGCCCAACATTAGCCACCTTTAGCTTAGCGGTGGTGGCGTGAAGTCATGTGACCGTGCTGTAGTTCCTTTATAGCCCAACATTAGCCACCTTTAGCTTAGCGGTGGTGACGTGAAGTCATGTGACCGTGCTGCAGTTCCTTTATAGCCCAACATTAGCCGCCTTTAGCTTAGCGGTGGTGACGTGAAGTCATGTGACCGTGCTGCAGTTCCTTTATAGCCCAACATTAGCCACCTTTAGCTTAGCGGTGGTGACGTGAAGTCATGTGACCGTGCTGTAGTTCCTTTAAAGCCCAACATTAGCCTCCTTTAGCTTAGCGGTGGTGACGTGAAGTCATGTGACCGTGCTGTAGTTCCTTTATAGCCCAACATTAGCCTCCTTTAGCTTAGCGGTGGTGACGTGAAGTCATGTGACCGTGCTGTAGTTCCTTTATAGCCCAACATTAGCCACCTTTAGCTTAGCGGTGGTGAAGTCATGTGACCGTGCTGTAGTTCCTTTATAGCCCAACATTAGCCTCCTTTAGCTTAGCGGTGGTGACGTGAAGTCATGTGACCGTGCTGTAGTTCCTTTATAGCCCAACATTAGCCACCTTTAGCTTAGCGGTGGTGAAGTCATGTGACCGTGCTGTAGTTCCTTTATAGCCCAACATTAGCCACCTTTAGCTTAGCGGTGGTGACGTGAAGTCATGTGACCGTGCTGTAGTTCCTTTATAGCCCAACATTAGCCACCTTTAGCTTAGCGGTGGTGACGTGAAGTCATGTGACCGTGCTGTAGTTCCTTTATAGCCCAACATTAGCCTCCTTTAGCTTAGAGGTGGTGACGTGAAGTCATGTGACCGTGCTGTAGTTCCTTTATAGCCCAACATTAGCCACCTTTAGCTTAGCGGTGGTGACGTGAAGTCATGTGACCGTGCTGTAGTTCCTTTATAGCCCAACATTAGCCGCCTTTAGCTTAGCGGTGGTGACGTGAAGTCATGTGACCGTGCTGTAGTTCCTTTATAGCCCAACATTAGCCACCTTTAGCTTAGCGGTGGTGGCGTGAAGTCATGTGACCGTGCTGTAGTTCCTTTATAGCCCAACATTAGCCACCTTTAGCTTAGCGGTGGTGAAGTCATGTGACCGTGCTGTAGTTCCTTTATAGCCCAACATTAGCCACCTTTAGCTTAGCGGTGGTGACGTGAAGTCATGTGACCGTGCTGTAGTTCCTTTATAGCCCAACATTAGCCACCTTTAGCTTAGCGGTGGTGACGTGAAGTCATGTGACCGTGCTGTAGTTCCTTTATAGCCCAACATTAGCCACCTTTAGCTTAGCGGTGGTGGCGTGAAGTCATGTGACCGTGCTGTAGTTCCTTTATAGCCCAACATTAGCCACCTTTAGCTTAGCGGTGGTGACGTGAAGTCATGTGACCGTGCTGCAGTTCCTTTATAGCCCAACATTAGCCGCCTTTAGCTTAGCGGTGGTGACGTGAAGTCATGTGACCGTGCTGCAGTTCCTTTATAGCCCAACATTAGCCACCTTTAGCTTAGCGGTGGTGACGTGAAGTCATGTGACCGTGCTGTAGTTCCTTTAAAGCCCAACATTAGCCTCCTTTAGCTTAGCGGTGGTGACGTGAAGTCATGTGACCGTGCTGTAGTTCCTTTATAGCCCAACATTAGCCTCCTTTAGCTTAGCGGTGGTGACGTGAAGTCATGTGACCGTGCTGTAGTTCCTTTATAGCCCAACATTAGCCACCTTTAGCTTAGCGGTGGTGAAGTCATGTGACCGTGCTGTAGTTCCTTTATAGCCCAACATTAGCCTCCTTTAGCTTAGCGGTGGTGACGTGAAGTCATGTGACCGTGCTGTAGTTCCTTTATAGCCCAACATTAGCATGTCATGCTCAAATGATTCTTCTTCTTGTGTTCCAGAGTTTTCTCAGAGAGCGGATGTTTCCTCCTCGTCTTGTTCGGCTCCACTCACAGGGCGCCTCAGTTCTTCCAGTGCCGAGGATCTGGATCAGGATCACACCTGGACTACCAGCTGCTGAGCGGCTCTCAGTGTGTCACTCTGTACCAGGTAACGACACACCTGACACACAGGAAGCTTCTTCAGACAGAGAGCAGTGATGAGCTCTTGCCTCGGTTTGGCCCTCCTACTTAATGCGTTAATCATCAAACAAAGAAAGAGATCTCTTGGCAGATGTTCTTCACAACACTTGGCACACTCATTCCTCGCTTCACGATCTCTAATGATGGAGCTATTTTAATTGAGACCTGTAGAATAAAGTGATGAAATCCGGAGGAAGCGTTTTTCACACGTGATTAGTTCAAAGACCTTCGGAAAGTAAAAGATCTGAGGAAGATTCTAGATTTCTCAGTTTGTAGCCGTGACAAACTGAGATTTTGGCAATTCTTTGTAAAAAAAGAAGTGAATGTGGACTCATGTGTATACAGTCTGTGACTCACCTGTGTGTTAACAGTCTGTGACTCACCTGTGTGTTAACAGTCTGTGACTCACCTGTGTGTTAACAGTCTGTGACTCACCTGTGTGTTAACAGTCTGTGACTCACCTGTGTGTTAACAGTCTGTGTGACTCACCTGTGTCTCCAGCAGGTGTGTATGGAGGGTCGTACGCTGCAGTGTGAGCTGATGACAGACAGCCGACACACTGAGACCTTCAGAGAGGCGCACACCTCCTTCAACAGGTAACACAACGTTTCCTAGTTTTATTGTTTTTATTCGATTCAAATGAAATATTCTGATAATCTGTTATCTGTGTGTGAAGCGTGGACGAGGGCACAGGTGAGCTTTCACTGTGAACTCTTTCCCGCTGGGAGTTAAATCACCTTCAGTGTTAAACTAAAGCTCCTCCAGTTCTCTCTTCATGTGTCTGTGGAAGCAGCCAATCAGAGCGCAGCGTCTGATGTTTGTTTTGTCTGTTTGTGCTCAGAGCGTCCGGTCTGTCTGTCTGCGATCAGGACTCTGGAGTCGAGGACGAAGACCTGTCCCCCCCGTCCCTCCCCCAGCCCGCACCCCCCCGCCCAGCAGGTCAGTGTTCAGAGACTCATTTACAATACATCACAACACTGGGATATTTTAAAGTTGTCTTTGTGTTATCAGGGAATCAATATTTAGAACGGTTCTAGATACATCCATGAGCCCGGAGAACACGCATCTAAAAGCATGTTTCAGATTTGAGGAACATGGGACCACAGGGACGTTCCACATTCACTGCTACGACACACACACACACACAGACACACACACACATACAGACACACACACACACACACACACACACACACACACACACACACAGACACACAGACACAGACACACACACACACACACACACACACACAGACACACAGACACAGACACACACACACAGACACACACACACACACACACTCACAGACACACACACACACTCACACACACACACACTCACACACACCACACACACACAGACACAGACACAGACACAGACACACACACACACACACACTCACAGACACACACACACACTCACACACACACACACTCACACACACACACACACACACACACACACACACACACACACACACACTCGGCACGTAACATTCACATTTTCGTGTTTGTACTCCAGGCTCGCAGAGTTCAGCCGTCGGTCCCTGAACTCTCTCTGCTGATTGACAGCAGCTTCTCCTCCAATCAGAACTTCAGGCAGGCCCCTGGCCCCTCCCACAGACCTCCTCCTGCCAGGAAGTCTGCTCCTCCACCTGGAAACTCTTCCTCCTCTTCCTCAGCTCCTCCTCACCTCCACAGCACCCCAAACTCCCACCTGCATCAGCCCTGCTCCTGCTGCTGCTCCAACAACTACAACTGCACCTCCATCTTCTCCTCCCCCGGACTCCCTACTCCTTCCTCCCTTCTTCATCATCACCAAACTCCTCCTCCTCCCTCCATCCACTCATCTCCACACCCCTCAGTCCAGCACCCATCCAGCTCAACACACTCCTCCTCCTCCTCCTCCTTCCTACTCCAACCGACTGTCAGCTCCTCTTCCTGCTCCTTCCTCCCATCATCTTCATCATCACACCTCTCGTTCTTCTCCTCATTTTCCTCCTCCACCGTCCCATCACCTCACCCCTCCTCCCTCCTGCAACCATCAAACCAATCCTTCTCCACCTCCTTCATCCTCACATCATCTTTATCACAATTCACCTCTTGTTGCTCCTCCTTTTACTCCTCCACCGTCCCATCACCTCACCCCTCCTCCCTCCTCCTCTCCTCCTCTTCCTCCCCCCTCCTCTCTTCCTCCCCCCTCCTCTCTTCCTCCCCCCTGCCCTTGCAGCCACCCTGGGATGGGAGGGGTGGAAACCAACCAGCTGCTCCTCCATCAGGACCGGCAGCTGCGCCTCCTTCAGGCTCAGGTGAGTTTATCATAATAACACATGATGACACTTAAATGGCGCTTCTCTAGAAGCTCAGACGCTTTGACAGAGTAACACAAAAACTAAGAAAATACGTAAAGAGCTGAGGTCTCTGTTTGTCTTCAGGTTCAGATGCTGCTGGAGGCTCAGGGGAAACTGCAGACCCCCCACAGAGAGCAGGAGGCACCGAGGAGCACCGCCAGCATCGCTGTGGGGACAGGTGAGACCCTGGGCAGGTGGGAGCTGATGCAAATGATTGTAAAAAGGTGCAGACATGAGAACAGGTGTAAAAAAAGATTATTGTCAAATGGTGTTCACGGTGGAAAAAGGTCACAAAATGTTTGGACAGGTGTAAAAAGGTGCAAACTAAAGTCAAAGGTGCAGACATTGTTTTTAAATGGGTTAAAACAGGTGTAAAGGTGGAGTAGACCTGTGTAAAAAGTTGTAAACAGAGTTAGACGAGTGTAGAAATGTGCAAACTAGAGTAAAAAGGTGCTGACCGTTGTGGAAGGGTTTAAAAAGGTGCAAATTGGGTGTTAAATGGAACAGACAGGTGTGGAGAGATGTAGCCAGGTGTGAAGAGGTGTAGCCAGGTGTGGAGAGATGTAGACGGGTGTGAAGAGGTGTAGCCAGGTGTGAAGAGGTGTAGACGGGTGTGAAGAGGTGTAGACGGGTGTGGAGAGGTGTAGACGGGTGTGGAGAGGTGTAGACGGGTGTGGAGAGGTGTGGAGAGGTGTGGACGGGTGTGGAGAGGTGTAGACGGGTGTGGAGAGGTGTAGACGGGTGTGGAGAGGTGTAGACGGGTGTGGAGAGGTGTAGACGGGTGTGGACGGGTGTGGAGAGGTGTAGACGGGTGTGGAGAGGTGTAGACGGGTGTGGAGAGGTGTAGACGGGTGTGGAGAGGTGTAGCCGGGTGTGAAGAGGTGTAGCCGGGTGTGGAGAGGTGTAGCCGGGTGTGAAGAGGTGTAGACGGGTGTGGAGAGGTGTAGCCGGGTGTGGAGAGGTGTAGCCGGGTGTGGAGAGGTGTAGCCGGGTGTGGACGGGTGTGGAGAGGTGTAGACGGGTGTGAAGAGGTGTAGCCGGGTGTGGAGAGGTGTAGCCGGATGTGGAGAGGTGTAGACGGGTGTGGAGAGGTGTAGACGGGTGTGGAGAGGTGTAGACGGGTGTGGAGAGGTGTAGACGGGTGTGGAGAGGTGTAGACGGGTGTGGAGAGGTGTAGCCGGGTGTGAAGAGGTGTAGACAGGTGTGGAGAGGTGTAGACGGGTGTGAAGAGATGTAGCCGGGTGTGGAGAGGTGTAGACGGGTGTGGAGAGGTGTAGACGGGTGTGGAGAGGTGTAGCCGGGTGTGGAGAGGTGTAGCCGGGTGTGGAGAGGTGTAGCAGGGTGTGGAGAGGTGTAGCCGGGTGTGAAGATGTGTAGCCGGGTGTGGAGAGGTGTAGACGGGTGTGTAGACGGGTGTAGACGGGTGTGGAGAGGTGTAGCCGGGTGTGGAGAGGTGTAGCCGGGTGTGGAGAGGTGTGGAGAGGTGTAGCCGGGTGTGGAGAGGTGTAGCCGGGTGGTGTAGCCGGGTGTGAAGAGGTGTAGACGGGTGTGAAGAGATGTAGCCGGGTGTGAAGAGGTGTAGCCGGGTGTGAAGAGGTGTAGCCAGGTGTGGAGAGGTGTAGACGGGTGTGGAGAGGTGTAGCCGGGTGTGGAGAGGTGTAGCCGGGTGTGGAGAGGTGTAGCCGGGTGTGGAGAGGTGTAGCCGGGTGTGGAGAGGTGTAGCCGGGTGTGAAGAGGTGTAGACGGGTGTGAAGAGGTGTAGACGGGTGTGAAGAGGTGTAGCCGGGTGTGGAGAGGTGTAGCCGGGTGTGAAGAGGTGTAGACGGGTGTGAAGAGATGTAGCCGGGTGTGAAGAGGTGTAGCCGGGTGTGAAGAGGTGTAGCCGGGTGTGAAGAGGTGTAGCCGGGTGTGAAGAGGTGTAGCCGGGTGTGAAGAGGTGTAGCCGGGTGTGAAGAGGTGTAGCCAGGTGTGAAGAGGTGTAGCCAGGTGTGAGAGGTGTAGCCGGGTGTGAAGAGGTGTAGCCAGGTGTGAAGAGGTGTAGCCGGGTGTGGAGAGATGTAGACGGATTTAAAACGTTCTGAAGAGGTTCAAAAAGGTGCACACAGGTGTAAAGATGATCACTCGTTGATGCTAATTTCCATCTCTTTCTCTTGTTTCTCAGGGGCCAGTTTGTTCTGGGGGGCTCCCGTCTCATCTCCCTTCCTTCATCAGGAGGCTCCTCCCCCTTCCTCTTCCTCACCTCCCCCCTCCTCCTCCTCCTCCTCTTCCTCCTGTAAACCCCCCTCACACACTTACCTGTCCGTCAGTGATCATGGAGTTGAGAGAAGTGACATCACAGGTCAGGAGGCCGCCTGCTCCCCCCCCTCGCAGCACAGGTGAGACTGTTAGCATCTGTTAGCATCTGTTAGCATAAGATAAGAAGTACTTTATTGATCCCAATTTGTGAAATGTTTGCGTTGCAGCATAAAAAGACAAGGCATTGAACATTAGAGAAATGAACAGAGTAGAAATAAACAATCCAAAATGTAAACATCTCAATAGGAATAAAATAGCATTAAAGAAAGTAAAAAATATACATGTTTACAGTAACAACATATAAAGCAGGGTGTTATACATAAGTACGTGAGGAATGGAATATAAAATATTAGATTGTATATAAATGTAAAATGTACAGTGTGAGTTTAAGTCCAGGTGATTAGTTATTGAGAGTTATTGCAGATGTGTCGATACACCCTGAAGCCATGTATGTTAGCATCTGTTAGCATCTGTTAGCATCATTTAGAGCCGCTACAGGCTTTAGAGTGACATGTCTCCCCTGTTGTGTGTTGTTCAGCCTCAGCGGCCTGCAGAGCCCGGTTCTGGGGGAGAGTGTGAGCATGTACCAACCACAGGAGGAGCAGCAGAACTTCTACCAGAACCTCATGGTAACAACAACAACAACAACATGCAGGCTGTTCACATGATGCTAGGAAACCGTAGATAATAATACCCTGCATACGTATTCAACTTATTCTTAAAAGGTCTCCTCTTATACTGTTTGTAGGCCTATATTACTCCTTCACTCCTCTGTGAAGAGAGAGGATTCTCCCAGCAGATTCTCAGCTAAATGCTGCCGTGACTAAACTCCATATCATGTTCCAAACCACATCAAGGATTCTTTCTGAAACCGTATGGAGCTCAAATGCTTTTTCTCTTGTGTTAGCATGCTAATGTAAACGCAGACCATATTACTTCCAGAACACGTCTCATTGTTTCTGACAGCAACGTTTCTGATTGGCCCGTAGGTGTAAAGCCCGCCCACATTTTAGTAATGTGGTCATGACGCAGCAAATCTGGATCAGCTCCGTTGTTCCCCCGTTTTTAGAGATGTGGGTACGGAGGAAAAGAGAGAGGGGTTTATTTCCTGACACTTTGAGAGTCTCCTGACACACCGGGGACACACCGGGGACACACCGGGGACACACCGGGGACACACCGGGGACACACGGGGACACACCGGGGACACACCGGGGACACGTGGTGATGTAGAGAAGACATCACTTTGTGAGTCTCCTGACACACCGGGGACACATGGTGATGTAGAGAAGACATCACTTTGTGAGTCTCCTGACACACCGGGGACACATGGTGATGTAGAGAAGACATCACTATGTGAGTCTCCTGACACACCGGGGACACATGGTGATGTAGAGAAGACATCACTTTGTGAGTCTCCTGACACACCGGGGACACATGGTGATGTAGAGAAGACATCACTTTGTGAGTCTCCTGACACACCGGGGACACATGGTGATGTAGAGAAGACATCACTTTGTGAGTCTCCTGACACACCGGGGACACATGGTGATGTGGAGAAGACATCACTTTGTGAGTCTCCTGACACACCGGGGACACATGGTGATGTAGAGAAGACATCACTATGTGAGTCTCCTGACACACCGGGGACACATGGTGATGTAGAGAAGACATCACTATGTGAGTCTCCTGACACACCGGGGACACATGGTGATGTAGAGAAGACATCACTTTGTGAGTCTCCTGACACACCGGGGACACATGGTGATGTAGAGAAGACATCACTTAGTGAGTCTCCTGACACACCGGGGACACATGGTGATGTAGAGAAGACATCACTTAGTGAGTCTCCTGACACACCGGGGACACATGGTGATGTAGAGAAGACATCACTTTGAGAGTCTCCTGACACACCGGGGACACATGGTGATGTAGAGAAGACATCACTTAGTGAGTCTCCTGACACACCGGGGACACATGGTGATGTAGAGAAGACATCACTTTGAGAGTCTCCTGACACACCGGGGACACATGGTGATGTAGAGAAGACATCACGTTGAGAGTCTCCTGACACACCGGGGACACATGGTGATGTAGAGAAGACATCACTTTGAGAGTCTCCTGACACACCGGGGACACATGGTGATGTAGAGAAGACATCACTTTGAGAGTCTCCTGACACACCGGGGACACATGGTGATGTAGAGAAGACATCACTATGTGAGTCTCCTGACACACCGGGGACACATGGTGATGTAGAGAAGACATCACTTTGTGAGTCTCCTGACACACCGGGGACACATGGTGATGTAGAGAAGACATCACTTTGTGAGTCTCCTGACACACCGGGGACACATGGTGATGTAGAGAAGACATCACGTTGAGAGTCTCCTGACACACCGGGGACACATAGTGATGTAGAGAAGACATCACTTTGTGAGTCTCCTGACACACCGGGGACACATGGTGATGTAGAGAAGACATCACTTTGAGAGTCTCCTGACACACCGGGGACACATGGTGATGTAGAGAAGACATCACTTTGAGAGTCTCCTGACACACTGGGGACACATGGTGATGTAGAGAAGACATCACTTTGAGAGTCTCCTGACACACCGGGGACACATGGTGATGTAGAGAAGACATCACTTAGTGAGTCTCCTGACACACCGGGGACACATGGTGATGTAGAGAAGACATCACTTTGAGAGTCTCCTGACACACCGGGGACACATGGTGATGTAGAGAAGACATCAGGAAGCGCATTTTGCTTGATGGGAGACCTTTAAAGTTGGATCGTGGGTCCGAATCAAGCTCCACCCGAACATATCCCCACTAATAACCTGAATTTCTCGGAGGGGAATTTTCGAGTTCATGATTTGTTCCTCTCTGCGTCCACAGAGTCAGCTGACCAGCCGTCTGCAGGAGTCTGACAGTAAACAGGAAGTGGAGGAGTCCAGGAGGAGGAGCCTGTCAGTGGTTTCCTCCTCCTCCTCCTCCAGGAGGAGGCAGAGTGGGGACCCGGTGCTCGAGGCCACCGTGAGGCAGCTGCAGCAGCTCGGAGTGAACGTGGAGCAGGGAGATCTGAGCGAGGCCAGCAGAGTCCTTCAGAACACTATCGAGAGCAGCAGGTAACACATCGCCTGGTTCTGATATCTACTCATTAGTTCATAGCTTATTTGGGGTTTTCTAATATGATGAAATGTATTTGTGCATTTTGTTTTACAAGACATGGGACTGGACATGAGTTTTTAAATCATTTTGAAACTTGAGTGTTTATGTTCATATAGTGTTTGGTGGCACTCGCCCTCTGTCTGAAACAAGAGCCAAGAAAAACTCATCATTCATAGATTTTGAGAATTTCAAAAAATGTCCAGAAAACATTCAACTTTCAGAATTCTGAGAAGTTCAGAAGAAAGCTCGAGTTTTAAGATTTTCGGAAAAAATCTATAGTTGTAGATAAAATTCAGAATTTTGAGAATTTCAGAAAAAAAATGAAATTTCAGAAAGAAATTGAAATTTCAGAAAGAAATTGAAATTTCAGAAAAAAAGTCTGAATTTTGAGATGTTTAAGAAAACAGTTAGAATTTGAGAAAAGTCAGTTAAAATATTTTCAGAAAAAATCTGAATTAAAAAAGAAAAGGAACTGAATTGAGGAAAAAAGTCAGAATTCTTAGATTTTCAGAAAAAAGTCAAACGTTTAACATTTCAGAAAAAAGTTAGAATTTTGAAGGAAAAGTCAGAATTTATAGAACAGTCAGAATTTTGAGGAAAAAGTCACAATTCTGAAATTGAGAAAAAAGTCAGAATTTTTAGATTTTCAGAAAAAAAGTCACCATTCGGGGATCTTCCGAAAAAGTCACAGTTCCGCTTAGAGATGTCCCGTCCCTTAACATATCACATGCAATGTGTTGGAGCGCTATCCAATAGAACTGTTCAATACAATCAAATGTATTTGTGCATCTCTCTCAGCACCCTGGCGAGCATCAACCCGGCAGCGGTTCTGTCCCGCCTCAGCGTCCCCTCGCCCTCGGCCAGCGCTCTGTTCCCGGGCCTCAGCGCTGATCTGAGTCTGGAGGCGAACGCCATCGCCCTGCGTTACCTGAGCGACTCTCAGCTCAGCAGGCTGTCTCTGGGAGGCCACGCCCCCTCAAACCGAAGCCCCGCCCCCTCCGCCAACGTCTCCCTGATGTCGCCTAGCAACATGTCCCTCGCCACCAGGAAGTACATGAAGCGATACGGGTTAATCGAGGAGGAAGATGGCGAGGAAGAGGAGGAAGATCGTCCTCCGCTAACCGAAGCTCTGAACGCGAAGCTCCTCCCACAAAGTCAGCTGATCCGAGAGCTGAGGCCCAAAATGCAGCTGTTAGTGGGAGGAGCTAAACCCAACGACGACGACAAGGAGAACTGCCCCAGCAGGCGGCAATCTTTGATGAGGGCGAGCAACCGTCAGACAGAAGGGTCGGTCGGGAACATCCTGGACCTGAGCCGCCTCCGACAGCTGCCCAAACTCTTCTGATTCTGCAAAACTGGTGACAAATCCAACGAACCAGATGTGTTAAAGGTGCTCTAAAAACTGTCATTTATCTAATCCAGTCTGGGGCTGAAGCCGCCTCCGACAGCTGCCCAAACTCCAGACTAAAGCCCCCTGAGACGAACACCAAGACACCAGACTAAAACCCCCTGAGACGAACACCAAGACACCAGACTAAAACCCCCTGAGACGAACACCAAGACACCAGACTAAAGCCCCCTGAGACGAACACCAAGACACCAGACTAAAACCCCCTGAGACGAACACCAAGACACCAGACTAAAACCCCCTGAGACGAACACCAAGACACCAGACTAAAGCCCCCTGAGACGAACACCAAGACACCAGACTAAAACCCCTGAGACGAACACCAAGACACCAGACTAAAACCCCCTGAGACGAACACCAAGACACCAGACTAAAACCCCCTGAGACGAACACCAAGACACCAGACTAAAACCCCCTGAGACGAACACCAAGACACCAGACTAAAACCCCCTGAGACGAACACCAAGACACCAGACTAAAACCCCCTGAGACGAACACCAAGACACCAGACTAAAACCCCCTGAGACGAACACCAAGACACCAGGAACCAGATGTGTTAAAGGGGCTTTTAAAAACTCTAATTTATTTAATCCAGTCTGTGCCCAAACTCCACTTCAAACTCCAGACTAAAACCCCCTCGGACAAAGACCAAGACACCAGAAACCAGTCGACTCAAAGGTGCTTTAAAAACAGTCTTTGACATGACTTTAAAAACAGTTTTTGTTTAAATGGAGCCTGATGCTTGCTTTGGTTTCCCTCAAAGCTCCCTGAAACCAACAGACTCCTCAGACAGCTGAGACAAACTCTCCAAGACCCTGAGATAAATCACCAGCTGTCTCATTGGTACTTTTAACTTGAAGTGTTATTCTTTTTGTATGGAGTCTGGTGCCAAACCCTCCCGAGACAGCCTGACTCCAGATTAAACACCAGGCTGAAATATGCGGCAAGATTTTAAAAACTATAGTCTGTTGTCAAAGGCTCATCTCAGACTGACACCAGATCACCAGAATACCAGCTGTGGTGACTTTAAAAGTGTTATTTTTTTAATGTAATATGTAGCTTGGTTTGTTTTGACTCAAAGTGCCCCGAGACAAACCAACAGATAAACAGCCGTTTTCTAAATCCAGTCTGGTGCCAAATCCCCAGAGAAGCTAAGCTAACGTTAGCGTCGAACAGAAACTCAGATTTGAACCTCAAACTGAAACTTTATTGACTGTTTTTCCTGCTCTGTATACTTATATCAGAGGAGAGAAAGACTTTCTAAACACCTCCTAAAAAGTGATATTTTCTAAATGCAATCTGGTGCCAAATCCCCAGAAAACGTGTTTGACTGTTTAATTCAAAAGACATATTCTGCAAGATTTTAAAATGGTGTTGGTTTGAGTCAATGCACCTTGAGGCAAACGCCTGAACACCAGCTGTCCTTTGTCTGTTTGTCTGTCTCTCTCTCTGAGGTGCTTTGATGATTTTTTAAATCTGTATTTATTTTTTTAAACCCTAAAAAAGTTTTCACTCGTTTTCAAAAACCTGCTGGAACATTTTTTGTATTTTTCACATTTTTGCGTGTAAATGAAATGTTTTATTATTATTATTATTATTATTATTTTGTCGTCACTTCCTGTTTTAATGTGAAATGTCCTTTGCACATGTTTTATTTTATATTTATGATTTCACAAATAAAATTCATAATTCTTTTAATGCATTTTTTCTTATTTATATTCAACTTCAGTCCTGACGTAAAGCTTCTAAATATTATTAAAGGTCCCCTATTATCCTCTTCTTCATCAATATATCACAGGTCTCAGATATATCCAGAGCCTGTCTCTGATTGGCTGAAACACCAAACAGATCATTGCAGCATTACCCATAATCCCCTCTGTTTCAGCCCTGTTTCCAAAGTGCTGATTCTCTGTCTGTTACTTTAGATGAAAATAAGGAGCCCCTCCCCACGCCCCTCTGAGAGACATTTGGTTACAAAGAACACGAGCCGCTTTCACACCAAGTACTTTGCCGTACTTAGTTCCCAGCACTTAGTGCCCCCATAGAACTAAGAGCCGATCGCGTTCACACCGGAATAAGTCCATGAGGGAAGATTACGCAAATGTGACGTCACGTCGTGTCACGTGACTTGAATTTTGAATTGAGCCGTCCCTTAAGTCATAGATATTATCTCTTTACGTGTTAGTGATGGGAATTCCGGCTCTTTTTAGTGAGCCGGATCATTTGGTTGCGTTTCCACTTGGCGTAGTTCCGGCTAGCGGGTACTTTTTCACAGTTTTCTGGCTCTCCAAAATCCAGGTTCTTTCCGGGCCAACAACCTGGCTGAGTCGGGCTGAGTATGCTAAACTAGTGAGAGAATCGCTGGCAAGGGGGCTACAACTACAACAAGATGGACATATTTGACCGTGATTTAATTGTAATACACGTTTCAAAATGATGCCGAAGTAACAACATACTGATACCGGTTAGTAAAAACCATGAATTAATGCTTTGTCAAGTCTGCAGACAGACGGCAGGAGAAACACCTTTTAAAATGCGTGTTTTCTAAATGGAGATTGGCTAAGCTAACGCAGTATATGCTCCGACCGTCCACACTCACAACAACGGCCTATACAGACATAAATAAAGCAGCGACTGTATTCTCCATGACACAGGCAGTCTGTGGTTTGTACTTGTTTAACTTTTGTCGAGTTTCTGAACAGATATGAGGAGCTGTGAGCTCTGAGTGCTAACAGCTAACGGCTGATGTTGTTTTTCTGGGGTTCTCATTGAAGATGACGTCACGGCTCCGCCTACACTGCGTTACTATAGTTACTACCCCAGTTCCTAAACTGTAAATAAAGCATAAAGTGAGCCTGGCCTACCAAGGCCTAACGAGGCCTAGCCATACCGTACTAAGCCGAGCGAGGCCCTGCAGTGGAAATGCGCCATAAGAAGAGCCGGCTCTTCATGTTACCGCAGTTTACCACGGAGCCTCAGTTTCACCGCTGCGAGGCTCCGATGCAGTTCATGCGTGTGCTCCACTAGCACCCCCCGCCAAGGCTCGCCGGCAGTACACTTTCCGTCACAGGAACACGCTTTGCTGGAGGCGAAAATAATCCCACTAGAATCCTTTGCCCCTCCAACAGAGGGATGGCCTTGTCCTTTTCCTTTTCGTCATTTCAAGCGATAAAAACTCGATCTTCTCTCGAATTATTATTTTTTTGGACGCCCTCGGCTCGAGTTCAGGGCGTTCCGAGCTGAAGGCGTCAAATGACGGCAAGACGGTTTCCCTGGCGGAAATGCTGATCAGGACAAAAAGAGAGAGAATCTTTGTTCCTGAAACTTTCAGAGTCTCAGAGGGGACACATGCTGATGTAGAAGAGACATGAAGAAGAGGGGACACATGCTGATGTAGAAGAGACATGAAGAAGAGGGGACACATGCTGATGTAGAAGAGACATGAAGAGAGGGGACACATGTTGATGTAGAAGAGACATGAAGAAGAGGGGACACATGCTGATGTAGAAGAGACATGAAGAAGAGGGGACACATGCTGATGTAGAAGAGACATGAAGAAGAGGGGACACATGCTGATGTAGAAGAGACATGAAGAAGAGGGGACACATGCTGATGAAGAAGAGACATGAGGAAGAGGGGACACATGCTGATGTAGAAGAGACATGAAGAAGAGGGGACACATGTTGATGTAGAAGAGACATGAGGAAGAGGGGACACATGCTGATGTAGAAGAGACATGAAGAAGAGGGGACACATGTTGATGTAGAAGAGACATGAGGAAGAGGGGACACATGCTGATGTAGAAGAGACATGAAGAAGAGGGGACACATGTTGATGTAGAAGAGACATGAAGAAGAGGGGACACATGTTGATGAAGAAGAGACGTGAAGAAGAGGGGACACATGCTGATGTAGAAGAGACATGAAGAAGAGGGGACACATGTTGATGAAGAAGAGACGTGAAGAAGAGGGGACACATGTTGATGTAGAAGAGACATGAAGAAGAGGGGACACATGTTGATGTAGAAGAGACATGAAGAAGAGGGGACACATGCTGATGTAGAAGAGACATGAAGAAGAGGGGACACATGTTGATGTAGAAGAGACATGAAGAAGAGGGGACACATGTTGATGTAGAAGAGACATGAAGAAGAGGGGACACATGTTGATGTAGAAGAGACATGAAGAAGAGGGGACACATGCTGATGTAGAAGAGACATGAAGAAGAGGGGACACATGCTGATGTAGAAGAGACATGAAGAAGAGGGGACACATGCTGATGTAGAAGAGACATGAAGAAGAGGGGACACATGCTGATGTAGAAGAGACATGAAGAAGAGGGGACACATGCTGATGTAGAAGAGACATGAAGAAGAGGGGACACATGTTGATGTAGAAGAGACATGAGGAAGAGGGGACACATGTTGATGAAGAAGAGGGGACACATGCTGATGTAGAAGAGACATGAAGAAGAGGGGACACATGTTGATGTAGAAGAGACATGAGGAAGAGGGGACACATGTTGATGAAGAAGAGGGGACACATGCTGATGTAGAAGAGACATGAAGAAGAGGGGACACATGTTGATGAAGAAGAGGGGACACATGCTGATGTAGAAGAGACATGAGGAAGAGGGGACACATGTTGATGAAGAAGAGGGGACACATGCTGATGTAGAAGAGACATGAAGAAGAGGGGACACATGTTGATGTAGAAGAGACATGAAGAAGAGGGGACACATGTTGATGTAGAAGAGACATGAGGAAGAGGGGACACATGTTGATGAAGAAGAGACATGAGGAAGAGGGGACACATGTTGATGTAGAAGAGACATGAGGAAGAGGGGACACATGTTGATGAAGAAGAGACATGAGGAAGAGGGGACACGTGTTGATGTAGAAGAGACATGAAGAAGAGGGGACACATGTTGATGTAGAAGAGACATGAAGAAGAGGGGACACATGTTGATGAAGAAGAGACATGAGGAAGAGGGGACACGTGTTGATGTAGAAGAGACATGAAGAAGAGGGGACACATGTTGATGTAGAAGAGACATGAGGAAGAGGGGACACATGTTGATGTAGAAGAGACATGAAGAAGAGGGGACACATGTTGATGAAGAAGAGACGTGAAGAAGAGGGGACACATGCTGATGTAGAAGAGACATGAAGAAGAGGGGACACATGTTGATGAAGAAGAGACGTGAAGAAGAGGGGACACATGTTGATGTAGAAGAGACATGAAGAAGAGGGGGACACATGCTGATGTAGAAGAGACATGAAGAAGAGGGGGACACATGTTGATGTAGAAGAGACATGAAGAAGAGGGGACACATGTTGATGTAGAAGAGACATGAAGAAGAGGGGACACATGTTGATGTAGAAGAGACATGAAGAAGAGGGGACACATGTTGATGTAGAAGAGACATGAAGAAGAGGGGACACATGCTGATGTAGAAGAGACATGAAGAAGAGGGGACACATGCTGATGTAGAAGAGACATGAAGAAGAGGGGACACATGCTGATGTAGAAGAGACATGAAGAAGAGGGGACACATGCTGATGTAGAAGAGACATGAAGAAGAGGGGACACATGTTGATGTAGAAGAGACATGAGGAAGAGGGGACACATGTTGATGAAGAAGAGGGGACACATGCTGATGTAGAAGAGACATGAAGAAGAGGGGACACATGTTGATGTAGAAGAGACATGAGGAAGAGGGGACACATGTTGATGAAGAAGAGGGGACACATGCTGATGTAGAAGAGACATGAAGAAGAGGGGACACATGTTGATGAAGAAGAGGGGACACATGCTGATGTAGAAGAGACATGAGGAAGAGGGGACACATGTTGATGAAGAAGAGGGGACACATGCTGATGTAGAAGAGACATGAAGAAGAGGGGACACATGTTGATGTAGAAGAGACATGAAGAAGAGGGGACACATGTTGATGTAGAAGAGACATGAGGAAGAGGGGACACATGTTGATGAAGAAGAGACATGAGGAAGAGGGGACACATGTTGATGTAGAAGAGACATGAGGAAGAGGGGACACATGTTGATGAAGAAGAGACATGAGGAAGAGGGGACACGTGTTGATGTAGAAGAGACATGAAGAAGAGGGGACACATGTTGATGTAGAAGAGACATGAAGAAGAGGGGACACATGTTGATGAAGAAGAGACATGAGGAAGAGGGGACACGTGTTGATGTAGAAGAGACATGAAGAAGAGGGGACACATGCTGATGTAGAAGAGACACGAAGAAGAGGGGACACATGCTGATGTAGAAGAGACATGAAGAAGAGGGGACACATGTTGATGTAGAAGAGACATGAAGAAGAGGGGACACATGGTGATGTAGAAGAGACATGAGGAAGAGGGGACACATGTTGATGTAGAAGAGACATGAAGAAGAGGGGACACATGTTGATGAAGAAGAGACATGAGGAAGAGGGGACACGTGTTGATGTACAAGAGACATGAAGAAGAGGGGACACATGCTGATGTAGAAGAGACACGAAGAAGAGGGGACACATGCTGATGTAGAAGAGACATGAAGAAGAGGGGACACATGTTGATGTAGAAGAGACATGAAGAAGAGGGGACACATGTTGATGTAGAAGAGACATGAGGAAGAGGGGACACATGTTGATGTAGAAGAGACATGAAGAAGAGGGGACACATGTTGATGTAGAAGAGACATGAAGAAGAGGGGACACATGTTGATGTAGAAGAGACATGAGGAAGAGGGGACACATGTTGATGTAGAAGAGACACGAAGAAGAGGGGACACATGCTGATGTAGAAGAGACACGAAGAAGAGGGGACACATGTTGATGTAGAAGAGACATGAAGAAGAGGGGACACATGTTGATGTAGAAGAGACATGAAGAAGAGGGGACACATGTTGATGTAGAAGAGACATGAAGAAGAGGGGACACATGTTGATGAAGAAGAGACATGAAGAAGAGGGGACACATGTTGATGTAGAAGAGACATGAAGAAGAGGGGACACATGTTGATGAAGAAGAGACATGAAGAAGAGGGGACACATGTTGATGAAGAAGAGACATGAGGAAGAGGGGACACATGTTGATGAAGAAGAGACATGAAGAAGAGGGGACACATGTTGATGAAGAAGAGACATGAGGAAGAGGGGACACATGTTGATGAAGAAGAGACATGAAGAAGAGGGGACACATGTTGATGTAGAAGAGACATGAAGAAGAGGGGACACATGTTGATGAAGAAGAGACATGAAGAAGAGGGGACACATGTTGATGTAGAAGAGACATGAAGAAGAGGGGACACATGTTGATGTAGAAGAGACATGAAGAAGAGGGGACACATGTTGATGAAGAGGGGACATGAAGAAGAGGGGACACATGTTGATGTAGAAGAGACATGAAGAAGAGGGGACACATGTTGATGAAGAGGGGACATGAAGAAGAGGGGACACATGTTGATGAAGAGGGGACATGAAGAAGAGGGGACACATGTTGATGTAGAAGAGACATGAAGAAGAGGGGACACATGTTGATGAAGAAGAGACATGAAGAAGAGGGGACACATGTTGATGAAGAAGAGACATGAAGAAGAGGGGACACATGTTGATGTAGAAGAGACATGAAGAAGAGGGGACACATGTTGATGAAGAAGAGACATGAAGAAGAGGGGACACATGTTGATGAAGAAGAGACATGAAGAAGAGGGGACACATGTTGATGTAGAAGAGACATGAAGAAGAGGGGACACATGTTGATGAAGAAGAGACATGAAGAAGAGGGGACACATGTTGATGAAGAAGAGACATGAGGAAGAGGGGACACATGTTGATGAAGAAGAGACATGAAGAAGAGGGGACACATGTTGATGTAGAAGAGACATGAAGAAGAGGGGACACATGTTGATGAAGAAGAGACATGAAGAAGAGGGGACACATGTTGATGTAGAAGAGACATGAAGAAGAGGGGACACATGTTGATGTAGAAGAGACATGAAGAAGAGGGGACACATGTTGATGAAGAGGGGACATGAAGAAGAGGGGACACATGTTGATGTAGAAGAGACATGAAGAAGAGGGGACACATGTTGATGAAGAGGGGACATGAAGAAGAGGGGACACATGTTGATGAAGAGGGGACATGAAGAAGAGGGGACACATGTTGATGTAGAAGAGACATGAAGAAGAGGGGACACATGTTGATGAAGAAGAGACATGAAGAAGAGGGGACACATGTTGATGAAGAAGAGACATGAAGAAGAGGGGACACATGTTGATGTAGAAGAGACATGAAGAAGAGGGGACACATGTTGATGAAGAAGAGACATGAAGAAGAGGGGACACATGTTGATGAAGAAGAGACATGAAGAAGAGGGGACACATGTTGATGAAGAAGAGACATGAAGAAGAGGGGACACATGTTGATGAAGAAGAGACATGAAGAAGAGGGGACACATGTTGATGAAGAAGAGGACTTTCCATAATAGGAGACCTTTAAACTTCAGAAATGTAATCCAGTGTGTTACATGAAGCCTCTGTGTATTTATAGGTGACAAAAACACAATAAATTCAAGGGTCTATTTATTATCTTTCAGGGAAATAGCATGCGTTTGTCTCATAAAGCAAACGGTAGATTTGGTAGAAAATAGTAAAATACATTCATGTTAAATCCAGAGCTCGTGCTGATGCAAAAATAAAAGCAGGACTTTAATAAATTGTGTTTTTATTGGTTTTAATGTGGACAGTTTGACT